TTTTATATGTATATTTATATGCATTTTATACAATTTCGGTTTTTGTCAAAATTTAACCCCCTCCTCTAATTCAACCCCTCACCCTCACATTTGTAAAAGGTGTATTTCAAATTCCAGGGACTTGTGCTTTAGCAAATACATGCATATCTATGTTATATTCATAATCTGAATTTTTCACAAAGGTAGTCCATCCACAAGAAAAGTTATTAAACAATTAAATTCCCATAGTAATCCAACACTGCAGACAATGCGTGTTTATGCGTGCGTGCGTATGCCTGTGTGTGTGCGTGTATGTGTGCATATGCGAATAATTATTGAAATATCAATTGCTCGAAGGGTTCAGGGGATCTCGTAGTCGAGCAGTCTCGACTAGAGTTTTCTTACTTGTTTCCTATAGTGGACTGGGAGATACCCCGAGCCCTCTAAGAGCTGATATTCTACTCATTCTGCACTTCTTTTATGCATACATGCATACACACGCATCTACATGCACGTTTATCACGCGCACTGCTGACTGCGCAGTTAGCAGCGACAGCGCTTGCGCTGCGCTGCAGTGTGGGCCATATTATGAGAATTTATTAGTTGAATAATTTCTCTTGTAGATGGATTATCCCTATAAAACTTTCAAAACGTAATCATATGGCTTAAAGCACAAGTCTCTAGTACTTGAAATGCGTTATTTAAAAAATGGCAGCGAAGGGGGCGTGGTATCAAAAATCTGTAAATTACAAAATCAACGCAAATTGAAAGTCTACAAGAGTACGCATTTATGTGTGCATACATACACACATACAAATGAGCGCGTGTATAAATAAATAAATATAAATACGCATTGGTTGCAGTGTTGGCTTACTATAGGAACTTAATTGCTTATTAACTTTTCTTCTGGATAGACTATCTTCATAAAATTGTATAAAATGCATATCAATATACATTTCAAATTTGGAGACTGTAGCTCTAAAGATGTAGGAGATATAATTTTATAACTGATTTTCGATACGGTTTTTTATCGATAAAAAAGATCGGAATGAGTTATCGATTTTAAATGATAAACTCGATATCCAAGCTGTAAATACGGACATTTAAAAAAAAAATTTTAAGTCTCTAACTCTTATATCTTCTGAGATCGACGCGTTCATACATACGGACAGACAGACGGACAAATCGACTCAGGTCGTCGCCCTGATCAAGAATATATATACTTTGTGCGGTCTGCCACGTTCCTTCTGCATGTTACATATATTTCAAGAAAACCATTATACCCTGATTTGCCATTGAAAATGGGTTCAGGGTATAATAAAAATAAAAATTGTATAAATTATATATGTAATTTGAAGATCCTAGCTGCAATGATGCAATTATGATAGCAATAGCTATCGATGGTTTTCCAATTTTAATGAGATCATGCCCTGTTTTTTGTTGCGCACTAGACTTGAAAATTGCTCTATATACTCTGGTTGACAGCGTTTGGGATGTGAATGAGTATTCTGCAATCGGTATCGCCCGACTGACACGTTCTTACTTGTTTTATAATGCTAAAGTAGCGGACCTTTGGGACCCTATCGAAGTCCAGCTTTATTGAAAAATTTACCAATCGTACAGTGCTTATCATAATTATAGCCCACTTTGAGGCAGTCTTAACAACATTTTTAAGGTTTTTCAAAAATAAATTTTACAGCTCTTTGTAGACTGGAGCATGTTACGTAGACTTTATTGAAATTTTTGTTCACTTTATGGAAAACTAAGAAAAAACCGTTAACTTTTGCTCTGTACTAACATTTTTGTGTATCATAATTATAGCCCACTGTCGCAAATTTGAGTTTATTAAGTGCGGCACAGACTTTTGGCTTTACAGACATTGTAATTAAGTAAATTTAGATTGTTTTTAAGAGATGCCGCTTGGAAATCAATTATCTGATTATGAAAATGGCCGTATTTTCTCACTTTTGGAGTCAGGAGAGTCTATTTCGGGTATTTCACGAATTTTTAAAATAAGTCGACGTGTAATTAAAATTTTGTTTTTACTAATTTCGTGCGATAAACGCATAATTATTAACAAAGCCAGCAACAGCTCAACTGCTGGTACAGCTTTGGCCTCCCATCAAAAAGAGGTCCAAACTGACCAAAACACCCATGTTGCTAAGTCGCCACAAGGTTGCTCGACTTGATTTTGCCGAAAGACATACTGCGACCGTTTATTCATCGTCGCGCGTTTTATTCATCGTCTTTTGGCTTACAGTATATTTATAAATTTTTACCCTAACAGGTCATATTTTCTGATGGAAAGAAGTTTAACCTGGATGGTTCTGATGGGTTTGATGCTTATTGGCATGATTTGAAAAAGAATCCTATGTTTTTTTCAAGGACAGACTTTGGAGGTGGCTCCGTCATGATTTGGGGTACATTTTGTTCATTTGGTACCTTTGAATTGATGTTTGTAACGAGCCGAATGAACAGTGAAGAGTATATTCAGAGTCTGGATAGTAGTCTCATAAGAGAATTACGTGTGAAACCAATGGTTTTCCAACAGGATAATGCCAGAATCCATGTGAGCAGACGTACAATGGAGTATTTGGAGGAACGTCATGTTGATGTCCTTAGCTGGCCAGCATGTTCTTCAGATCTCAAATCAAAGAAAATGTCTTCAGTAATCTTGCAAGCGCAAATTATAAGTGAATGACAAAGTTTCGAAAAGGACCTTTTATTAAATTTAGTGGTTTAAATGAGGAAGACAATTTTTGAGTTAACTAAGGCAAATGGAGGCCGGACAAAATATAAACTTTCGTTTTTCATCATTCCTCAACGATTTCATTTTTTGGACCAAAACATTGATACAGCAAATGGGTGCTATTTTTCTTAGTTTTTTTTTATACCCTACCATATACTACCATAGGCAGTACGAGTTTGCTTTATTTTTTTTCGATAACTAATCCGATAAATTTTTATCGAGAATAATCGAAAAATCGACTTGGGTTTTTCAGCCTAGTTTGAACACTTTTAAACCTGGAGACTTCAAATTTGCGTTGTATATAGAGTTATTGGACACAAAGATTTTGTAACTTACAGATTTTGGATACCACGCCCCCTCCGCGCCCAATTTGAAAAAAACGCATTTCAAGTACTAGAGACTTGTGCTTTGGAATGTACACACATTTTAACCATATGATTACGCTCTAAAAGTTTCATTAAGATTGTATGTCTACAAAAGATATTATTCAACAAATAAATTCTCATAATATTGCTCACATTGCTGCGCAGCGCAGTTAACAGAGCGCGTGCTTATAAGTGCATGTGTATGTATGTGTGCATAGAAGAAGTGCAGAATGATTAGAATATCAGCTTGGAGGGTTCAGGGTATCTTCTAGTCGAGCAGTCTCGACTGGAGCCTTCTTACTTGTTTTAATTTCTTTTTAAGAAATCGTTATTAAATTGTAAATTTTGAGTGAACAAGTTTTTTGCCATTCATAATTGAAATATTGAACTACTCATTTTTGAAGATTTTGAGGAAAATTTTCAGCCGATTCGTTTATGTGGATTAAAAGTGGGCTATAATTACGGTAAGCACTGTATATTGATAATTGTATCTGTCTGTAAGTTTAAGGTTTGTGTAGTAGCTAATGCTATTAACATTATGTTCAGTTGCTGTCTGTGCTTTGATATCTTTTTTGAAGTTAGAGCTCTTACAAATTATTAATTATTCACAGCCTTTGTGGGTTTGTGAATACGATAGAAAAGTTTGGGTTCACTCTGGTTGTGTAACCAGATATGTTTGAAAATAGAAAGTCTTCTACTTCATCATAAACTCAAACCTATTGCTATTATGTAAATATATTGAGGAAATCTACCATTATTCAAGTTTTAAGGCATGGGGTTTGTGGCACAGATAATTCTTCCGATAGATGTCGCTTTACGTAACAAATTTTGTTTGAAAGGGAAATAAAATAAATTACAAAAAAATTTATAATCGAAAAAAATATATAAAGTATAATAAGTGTAAGAGTTTGAAGATATTTAAATCATTTCAAGCTATGTAAGCATATCTCGGCATTCTGCCAAGTCCATGTATGAGTGTTGCGTATGAGACTGTTACGAAGACGTCCTGAAATTGAATCGAAAAACTTGGTAACACTAGATATATCTGAATGGTAGCGGCTGACAGACCAAATACTGGGTTCACTGAATTTAAAAGTCGTGGCAGTCGGAAATTACATGGGCTACCAAAGATTAAGGCCCATTCATTTTACTTTTGGCTGGCCACTTTTGAAACGAAATTTTAATTGCAAATATGATTTGATATGATTACTCAATGATATGTTTGAAATATTTTAATTTACAGAACTTAGCAATAGGTATTTGCACGTATCCCAGCGTTTGTATAATTTTAGCATTCGCTATTCTCACTTTTGCAAAGGGTCAAAAACCGGTTGTGAGACTCCATACATACCCTATATGACAGTCCGATGCTTGGGCGTGGCCAAGTGAATCCGATAATTTAACCATTGGTTGTCAATGGCCAGTGTCAGCTCTTATTGGTTAGACTGCCTCCTTGTGTCTGTTTCGTTCGCCCTCTCTCTCTCTCTCTCTCTCTCTTTCGGTGTCTCTTGTCGGCGCGCCAGCATTGATTATGCAATATGCGCTCTTCAGCTTAAAGAGACAAAAGCCAAAGAGATGCTTTTGAAAAAATAACAATAAGCAACAATAACATCCCGAGTTACGAATACGAATAGCAAGACGAAGCAAAAGCAAAACCGAAACGAAAATTGAAACCCGAACGACCCAGCATCTCTTAAATCAGATATGGAGCCGAAGAACCACAATGCCGAAGAGCTGGAGAGCCGAAGAGCAGCCCTCTTGCAGTCGCATTGCATTGCAGGCCGTTGGAACGGCTGAAGGTGGAAGTGGAAGTGGAATCCAATTGAAATCAGTGACAATTGAACATTGCCACGCGGTGGTGATGGTAGTGGAGGTTAGGCTGTCGAGCCGCTGTTACGGTTTCTGTCGTTATCGTTGACGCTGCTGCTGCTGTTGCTGTTACTGCAGTTGTCGGTAAACCGTTTTGCCGCTTGTCCGTTTCACATTTCACGCGTGTACGGTGATATCGATATCGATACCCAAATTAAAATTGAAGTCCAAATCGAAATCGAAATCTAACTTTAAGCTCGCAATTACAGTAAAATAATATAGTAATGAAAATAAACCGAGCAAGAAGAATTCTCAGCCGTTTTACGCATATGCAAACTTGTGTGTGTAATGTGCATGTACAAGTGGCGGTGATCAAAATTAGCACGAGCGGAGGAGAAAACCGTGGGAGTGAGTGATTGAGAGAGGCATAGAGAGAGAAAGAGATAAAGATAGAGATAGAGTGTGTGTGTTTGAGAGAAAGAGACGCACTCGGTCCACAAAACTAAATTCGAACTGACTACGAAAGGTCAATCACTTATCACAAAAAACTAAACTGTATTTCTGTGTCTACGGCTGGAGAATCGGCAAATCGACAGAAATTTGATGTTGTTAATTATGACGACAGAGTATGAGGAAGAGATGACAGAGATCTATTAGAGATCTTTTGTCATTGATCGACAATGTAACATAATTATTTTCTCTACAGCATTCTCTGAGCCACCAAAATGTGAAATGTGATCAAGTGTGTTTCAATGAACAGTTCTACAAATAGTGCCATATAAAAATATCAAGAATCGACATCAAATAAGTGGACCTAGTCAAAGTAAAACAATGGAATAGTAGACAGATCTTTGAACCAACAATGTTCATATATGGAATTACAATACAGATTTATACATAGAGGTAAAAGGAAAGGTGAGTGGAACTTATCGTTAAAGCTTTTATCTAAGAGGGGGCAAGAGAGAGAGAGAGGGCAAAAGATAGAGAGCTAGAGAGAGATGGTAATAAATTTCTTCGCAAGATGAATTGCGAAGGAAATAAATCTTCTTTGAAAACAAAAATCTAATCGCAATATTCAAGATGTTTTCCACCTGTTCTGCGATGCTTTAACATACGGTGGTTGAGAGGTGGTTAAACATAATTCATATAGATTTCTGTTTAGAAACTTTTGGGTAGTGCGATTCGAAAAATTTGAGCCACGGACCAGTTTTGCACTCAGCAGCTCTAGCCACTGGCCTCGCGCACAAGCATTGAGTGCGACAGGTGCATTTGCCACGCAGCCATCTCTTTGCATGGGAAAAGCTTTAGCCGAAGTTCAGCTCCTAACGTAGATCGTGCGCTCGATGGGAAGACGGTGTCTGCTTGTTTTTTTTTTATTTATATTTTGTTGTCTTTTAATCTTTTTGCTGAAATTGTAAACTCGCCCGCCCGTTCGACGGTAACACGAAGACAAAGACGAAGGCGAAGACAGTGACTCGTAAGATAACTACATAACTGTAACCGGGGCGGTATGCGGTTAACTCTGTTTTAGTTGAGTCGGTTCGTATATTGATTTGTGTTGCTGCTGTTGTTGTTGGTGATGCAGTTAGTTTGACCGGTTGGAATCCTTTATAGCACTCTCGAATGTGTATATGCATTACTCGATTTTATGCGTTCGAAACAGATTTGCAGACGCACTAAAATGGTAGCTTATTCATGCGTACATACGATGAACGATCTCTTCGTTGCGATCAAACTATAGTGTTCGCAGGTGTGCCCGACTACGAAATACTCTGCGATTGCTCTTCTCTACAGTCCTTTCAGTGGAAGGTTGGTTCTTGGGCATCTGATCTAAAGAGAATGGCCCGAGCGTTAACATATGACTATACCATTTAGGTATGTATTCGTATATATATATTCAGGGTGTCATACAAAGAGTATGGATAAAGCTTGCATTTCACGTACTTTGAGTTTCTATATCTATACAAGACTCTGAATCAGTGTGTCTACAGTTGCTGTCGTACAGGGTGTATTGGAATTGACCAACGCATGACGGCTTCATGCATTCAGTTGATATAAAGTCTTAGGGTTCCTAATGATATTAGCTCTATACATCTGTCAAGTAGGCTTGCATTTGTTACTATTTGTTATTCGGTGGACTGCTCGTGGTCGATTGTTCGAAGAAGAGTGTCATCGAGGAACGCCATAAATTGTGTTCTCGGACCTTGTATTTGCTTGTAATAAGGGCCACGGGCCACATCAAAGAGACAATCAAGGCGAAACAATGAACCGAGTGCACACATACTATCAAATACAGTAGCGCTGTCTTCAAGCATTTTCTGCTCATCTCTACTTGGGAGATGTAGACAGACGTAAGCTCCATGCATTAAGTGTTCTAGTGTACGCCGTTGTAAGGAGTAAAGAGCGCCAAAGGCGGCATATTACCAAAGAGGCATATATGCGGAAAACAATGACAGACTGCGACAGCGACTGTAACAAAATGGAAATAGATATCTACACACTTATATACATATTCATATGTATATACGTATACAAATATATATATTTGTGTAGCAGAATATGGAGGCGGCTTTGCAAATGTCCGATAAGTGGTCGACGATGACAACAAGAACACAAAGGAGCGACATATTCAAAAAACAGTATACAAACATAGAAAACAAATAAAAAGGTTGAGTGATACTTGCAATTATATAACTGCAATTGTAATAACTAGTGATGTAAAAAACCAATATACTAATTTTTACCGATGTTTTCCGACGTTTTTGCTGATACCGATGTTGAATGATGCATCGATGTTTTGCAAAACATCATTACTTGCGAATGCAGTTAACCCCATTTGAAAGCATCCGTTTTTCTTTTAGAGAAGATTTGAAAAGTGCCTATCCTAATTTATTCAAAATTGCAATCACATTTTTTCCGTTGATGTTACCTTCTGTTCTCTCTTAAATAATATGTAATTCTGTTTAATTTTAGTGAAATGTTTATACATTATGACTGCTATGAAAGCTTAAGATATCTCTCCTATGTTACAAATTTGAAATTTAGACCTTAAGCAAAATACTGCTATAAAAGCTCATTTTTATTTTTGTTAAATAATGTTGAATACTTTTAAGTTTTTTATTTTTATTTTGTTTAGATAATAACGCCATGAGTGCACCAGTAAATAAGTAAAAAATAAATAAATGTATTAATCCAACATCGATGCTTGATTTTCAAAACATTAATGGACATCGACATCGATGTATTCATTCAAATTTACATCACTAGTAATAACTGTAATTACTATTTATTTATATATATATATATATCGATTCGGTATACATTCCGCTTTTATAATAACCATCATTATATTTCGGCCACATAGGAAAACGATAAGTACGTCCATTCCAAAAATATTTAACTTTACAAATCGCTACTGAAAACAAATAGTACTTAGATGCACCGAGAACCGAGTCTCCTTCCCATCCGAGAAATAACGCTTTCGGAAGTGCTGACCCCTTCAGTGTTTCACGAATCTGAACACTAGAAGCAACACTACTGGTTGTTGCATCTGATTGTGTTTTTACCTGGGTAGATACTTTCATAGCTTTAAGCGCGTTGTGGATCAATAATCCATCTTTGAACCAGGTCCAGCTCTAATACAAGCCAATACTTCAAATTTATGTTAACGCTTTTCGCAATTTTACCAAAATCTGAGTAAATTGTTAACCGATGAAAAACTGCGCAAAGAAATCTATAGATCAAGTTTGACTACATGTTCTTTAATAACAAGTATGAGTACTCTAGTCGCGACTGCTCGACTAGGAGATACTCTGAACCCTACCAGCCGATATTCTACACAATCTGCACTTCTTCTTCAGGAAATCTGAATATTCAAATTAGGCTGAAAAAAACGAAATCTATGTACCGATTATTCCCTATAAAAAAGAAATCGGATGAGTTATCGAAAATATGACAAACTCGTACTACCATAGTATATACGATTATGAATGTAAACTTTTTAAGTCTATAGCTCCTAACATCGACAGTACTATATCGACTTAGTTCGTCGCCCTGATCAAGAATGGGGTCTGCGATGATTCCCTGTTACCTGTTACCTAATTTTCATAAAACCATTATACCCTGATTTCCCATTTTCCATGGGTTCAGGGTATCAACATTAGATGACCACATTGTGCATAGTCTATGGTGCTGCACCAATATCTGTTCCAAACTACAGCGACAAACACACAGACGCTTGCACTCGCACACACACGCATACACATATATATATTTTCATACAGTCAGTGCATTGCACGCATGCTCATTAAGCTAAACAGAACTGCGTCAGCCATTGGGGGAGGGGTGGTGATAAGTGGGAAGGGGTTGGAGGGGGCTAGGGAAATAGCGACAGGTTTTTATCCAGTTCTGAGGAGCTGGTTAAACTGGACAACGGCTACTACGGAAAGAAAATAAAACAAAATAAGAATAGCGTTTTCTTTGCAAATGAATCTGCGTTTGTTTTTTAACTGATTCCATCTGTGATCAATCAGGAATTTCTACGGTAAACTGCTATTCTATTATGAAAATTAATTTCTTGCAGGACTCTTCTTCGTTGTGTATATTATTATAAAAATAGATCAATATAATATAAGACCTGAATTTATAATATTTTGCACAGAACATTGAATATTCGACCTCTGGATACAATAGGTTTAAATGTATGTAACAGGCAAAAAGGAAGCGAGTCGATGTTATGAAGTTGATCAGGGTCAACAACTGATTAGAATCGCTCTCGAGCTTCAGCTAGTCAACTGCATCTCTCATATCACTTTGCAACTCGAGTCACCAACTTATGAATTAGAATTATATATCTATATACATATATATTTAGGGTACTGATACTTTAGTTTTGAAAACGTCAATCCGTATCAAGCTATTAATAAGGCGAAGGTGGGGAGCTTCAGGATCGATGAGCAGGGCCTAAAGATACAATTGTTACGCATTTCGCATAAAGATCAAATGTGCGAATGCGACTCTGTCTGTGTGTGTTTTCTATGAGTGTGACTACTTGCGTGTACTCGTCTATTGAGAAAATGCTTCGAAAACATGTTTCGGAGTAGATAGATAAAGCCGAATATGAATCGCGACGCCGACCCTCTGGTCAAAGAAACGACAGTGCCTGCGAGTAGTCCCCTGCGCAAAGCTAACATCGGTTTCGGGAGAGGAGATGAAGGCGAAAGCCAAGCCGAAGACTTCGTCGGAATGCGAATGCGCGCGATGCGAAACATGGAAAACTAGTTGTGGTGTCGCGTTGTTGTTGTTGGTCTTCTGTTCGTTGTACCCGTTTCTGAAGTCGCTGTCGTCGCAAAAATAAACACACTGAAAATAACAACAGGTGAATGCGAATTCAAACGCAAACGCAAACGAACGCGAATACAAGAAATCAAATTTCTCGTACAACATTGTTGTTTCCTGTTTCTTTTGACCAAAACCTGGAGCTCCAGCTAAAAGTGAAGGCTCCGCACTGCAGCAGAGGAGGGTGTGTGAATGTGCCTGTGTTTGTCTGTCTGTGTTTATCATTTGTGAGACATACCTCGCATACGAGCCACTAAGTCGATCTCTTCGGCCCTAAGGTTTCTTCCCGCCCGTCTTATCGGTCCTTCCTGCTCGGTTGGCTCGCAACGCACTTGCGTGTTTATTTTCTGGATTTTATTCCACACGGCCCACTGTCCAACGCCCTCCACCTGCGTCTGGTCTTATTATTAGAGTTCAGTTGTCAGTGCTGTTAGCCGTGGCAAAGCCTCAGACTGTAGAGCAATTACAGAACAATGTTAATGGGTTAATGACTTAAAAACCACAAATCCTCATTTCTTTTCCATTCAGTCTAGTGATTCGACTTATCCATATCCATCTTAAAATCCAAGAAGAAAGGT